TCTTTCTTCTAAACAAGAAAAAGGCATGAGTCTCCTTTCACAACCATCATAATTATTTCCCTCTGATCATCCATATTGTCATCATCTAATATTTTAATTCCATATCATTTTTTGCACATGCAAAAAAATTATTGTAAAAATTGTAGATAGTACTTACTGGTGTATTAATACATTTTAACAATTCTTTATTCATCTCCCGGTCGGGCTTGTTTGTCCCTCTATTTCGGGTTATTCCGAAGGTTGAGGAGGAAGATTGAGGCGGAAGGATCGCCGGAGCCCAGCAGGTCGTGGCCGTGGTGGCCGGGAGCGGCCACTGCACTCAAGTCTGGGCAACAGAGTGAGATTCCAACTCAAAAAAAAAAAAAAAAAAATCCAAGCAGTTAGCAGATACCCTTGTTTTACTCCTAACACTAAAAAGTGTATCTCTACTGTTTTACAGTAAGTTGATTTGAGGTTGAGTTCACATTCCTTTAAACATAGTGTAATAAGTTTGATCAGGAATGTATTTATTTTATTTATCTAGCATCGTTTTCTCCTTTGCTCTACTAATAGCATAAAATATATTTTTCTACTAGAAAGTTAGTCTTGTATTTCCAGAATGTACATTATCCTACTGAATCATGAATTAATGTTCCTGCCATATGCAGTTGGTGTTGTTCATAATTTCTTTGGAACTTTTAAATATATTCTATTCTTTTTTACTTTCTTTGACAACTGTATGGCACAGAGTTCATGTTAACTGTATAAAATGAATTTGACGATTTTTCTACATTTGGGAACTGTTTAAATAACTTTAAAGACTTCCACCTTCAACTTTTAAAACAATTCACCTGTAAGACACCTGGACTTGCTGCCATAAAAAAAATTATTAATGTTTTTTTTGAGTTGGAGTCTCACTCTGTCGCCCAGACTGGAGTGCAGTGGCTGCTCCCGGCCAGCGCAGCCTCGACCTGCTGGGCTCCGGTGACCCTTCCGCCTCAGCCTTCCACGTAACTGGAACTACAGGTGTGCACTACCACGCCCAGCTAATTTTTTTATTTATTGTAGAGATGAGGTCTCGCCTGCCCAGGCGAGTCTCAAACCCGCGGGCTCAGGCCATCCACTCACCTCAGCCTCTCCAAAGGCACGGGATTACAGGCTGAGCCACCAAGCCCGGCTATTTAATAATTTTATAAACGATTTCAATAATCTGCTATTGTAGATTTTTAAAGACAATTTTGATAATGTTTTTCTAGAAAATAATCCATTTCAACCAGATTTTTAAATGTATAAGCACATGGCAATACAGAACTTATTTATAACTTTTAAAGTCTTTATCCTAAAATTTTTGTTCTTTCCATGCTCCTGTAATCCTATCTTTTGCTGTATCTACATAATAGATATTTCATTTTTCTTTTTCAGTCTTGGGACTATTTATCCTTTTATTTTAATAGCAGTTTTCTCAGTATCTTTCTTTTCCTTCCTTTTTTTTTGAGTCAGGGTCTTACTCTATCACCCAGGCTGGAGTGCAGTGGTATGATTACAGCTACTGCAGCCTCCACCCTCAGGTTTCAAGTGATTCCCCCACTTCAGCCTCCTGAGTAGCTGAGACTATAGGTACATACCACCATACCCTGCTACTTTTTGGTTTATTGTAGAGACGAAGTCTTGCTATGTTGCCTAGGCTCATCTCAAACTCCTGGGCTCAAGCAATCCCGCCTGCCTCAGCCTCCCAAAGTGCTAGGGTTAAAGGCATGAGTCACCATGCCCAGTCCAAAAGCATTCTTATTTTTTTTTGAGTTGGAGTCTCACTCTGTCACCCAGACTGGAGTGCAGTGGCCACTCCTGGCCACCGCAGCCTCGACCTGCTGGGCTCCGGCGATCCTTCCACCTCTGCCTTCCAAGTAGCTGGAATTACAGGTGCACGCTACCACGCCCGGCTGATTTTTTGATTTATTGTAGAGGTGAGGTCTCGCTGCCCATGTGGGTCTCGAACCCACAGGCTCAGGCAATCCACTCACCTCAGCCTCCCAAAGCGCGGGATTACAGGCTGAGCCACTAAGCCCGGCCAAAAGCATTCGTTATCCTACATTTTCCTAATTGCCAAGGTGAGTAGTGAAATAAAACATTCTGACTCCATTTCTGATAACACTTCTACTTAACAAGCTCTTCCTCCTTCTCTAACTCATCTCAAGGTCCCACGAATTCTCAGTGTTTGCTAACATAGGCTAAGATAGTCTAGAATTTTTTAAAATTATTAAAACAATTTTTTTTCAAGCAAAAGGTCTCACATATTTGTTACTTAATAAGCCTACTGGTGAAGAGCATATAAACAAAGAAAAAAACCATTTTCCCAATAAAACACATCTGACCACCTGGATGGCTGCAACATTCTCAACTTGATACGGAGGGTACCAGAGACCTGACACACTGTTCACATGTGCCATCTCATGTGCAGTTTCAGAGTGGCACTCCTCTAGTGTCTCTTCTTACCTGATTTTATTACCAGTTTTCATCTGAATCCACTGGGGAATAGGACAATTTTGCTTTTCTTTCTTGGTCAGGAATCACTTGATCCTGAAAGTCTTATGAGAAGACATAGTGAGAAACTGAGTCAACCACATACACCATGACGGTGGACAGAAAAAGAGACGAGATGCTTTCCCCCCTATTTATCCTTTAGAAGAATCTGACGTCACTCCATTTTATAAACAGATTTGTAACAATTATTGAAATTTATGTTTAAGTGGTTTCAGTGTTCATTGCAGTCTTTTGATACAAGGCTCAGTAAATGGTTTTCATTCACCTCTAAGTTAATTAATCTGTAAATAGTTTCTTTTCTCCAGAATAGACCTAAGTGGTATAACTTCTGTCTACTTGCATGCCTGAAAACGTCTTTCCATAGTCTTCATCTATGAAAGGCATCTTCACTAGGTATGAATTCTTAGGTTAAAAATCTTCCCCTCTTGAATTCCCTATTGTCTTCCAGCATTCTATAGTGCTCGCTTGGTTTTTCTTCTCCTGTGGGCAACTTTTTTTTTTTTTAAACCTTATAATTTATTTTTCCAGGATGTGTCTAATTACAGAACCCTTTTCTCATAGATTTTTCTGGAACATAAGCCCTTTCAATCTGTACATTCAGATCCTTCTTTAGCCCCCCAAATCTTTATGCAACTGTATCTGTGAATACTGCTTCTGCTTCACTTGCTCTGTCTCTTCTTTGGAAACACCAAATGCCCCTCTGCGGAGAGGCCAGGCTCTGTCTTAGTATCTGCGGTCCTCTCTCCCACTGGTACCCTCTCTATGGACTCAACTTCTGACGGGGCTTCTTGTTTGTTCTCATAATACGAATTCTATTTTATGAAGTATCAGTCATGTTATTTTTTGTTTCCAATGTGCATTTTTAAGTTTCTGTGCATCTCACCAAATTCATCTCAGTCTTCTCTCCCTTCGTGACTTTCTGTTTCTGTTTCACAGATGGCACATTTTCTAATGTTCTTTTGAAGAGGCCCAATAGTTTCCTAAAAATGTCTTCTAGAACCTGAAGCTAAGATTATACACTGATCATTTATAGTTTTATGACTCTTTAAAACAACACTCCTTTTCTCTTCTTCAGTACCCTGTCCTGAGACCCAAGTTTCACCACTTCTACCTAGCCTAGGCCTCTGGGCATTTCACTCATCTTTGGCTATACCAAGAGCTATTTCTGGAGATGGCACTCAGACATTTTTGTTTATTTTCACTGTTTCTTTAAAAGAAAGTCTTACACTTATTACTAAAACATACATGCTTTAGTAAAAATTATTTTGTAAAAATAAAAATTTTTCTAAAGTTCCTCACAATAAAAAAATTTTAAGGGCTGGGCTTGGTGGCTCAGCCTGTAATCCCAACGATTTGGGAGGCCGAGGTGAGTGGATTGCCTGAGCCCACAGGTTCAAGACCCGCCTGGGCAACTTGGCGAGACCTCATCTCTACAATAAATCAAAAAATTAGTCGGGTGTGGCAGCATGCACCTGTTGTTCCAGCTACTTGGAAGGCTGAGGCGGAATGATCACCGGAGCCCAGTAGGCGAGGCTGCAGTGGTCGGGAGCGGCCACTGCACTCCAGTCTGGGCGACAGAATGAGACTCCAACTCAAAAAAAAAAAAAAAGATTTAAAAAAAATCAGTATTTGTGAATCTACAACATAGTATATAGAGAAAATTATGATATCAAGATGATAGTTTAAAAATGTGTACTTTTGTTTCCAAAAGGAGAGATTCTAATATATTAAGAAAACATAATGACAATATGGCTTAATCCTGTTCCCATATAAGCACCAATTTTATTCCAAATAATCACACAATTAAAAAAATAATTTTCTTAAAATACTTTTACAAAAAGTAACCCCAGTATCCAAAATTCTGGAAATGCCATCTTGTACATTAGTACTAATTTACTTGAACTGAAACATTCCAAGAGTTCCATAGCTTCCACAAATTTCATTTTTAAAGTAAAAAAAAAAAAACAAAAAACAACTTTCTATTTATCTTTAATGACAAATGATGCAACTGATAACTTTACTTTGTAGAATTTTAGTTACTTTGGTGATGTTTACATTTTTACAAATAAGTAACACATATATATTAAAAAATAAGCCAGTCTAATGGCTTGCATTGGAGACCAGCGAGTTGCATTTTGTTAAACCCAGGTTGAACAGAGTTGAATTTAGGTTAATACAGAGAAAGGCGTGTTCTGGGTGTGTTGTCCGTTGAATTTCTTGAAGCATCAGATGAATTGTAAAAAGTTCAAAGAGCTTCTTATTACCCCTGTAAAACAATGGGTGCATTACTTAATTATACGTACCTAGGGAGTCTGTCTGTTATGACATTGAGAGATAACATGTGTGTAAATGTGAGGAAATGGGATCTGTTTTTTAAAACAGCAGATAAGTTGGGCTCGGTGGATCAGCCTGTAATCCTGCACCTTTGGGAGGCTGAGGTGAGTGGATTGCCTGAGTCCGCGGGTTCGAGACCCGCCTGGGCAACTTGGCGAGA